AAACATTAAAGGAGTAGTTCCTTTTTTGCTTACAGGAAACACAAAAATAACACTTCAATACAGTATTCAGGCCAGAGTTAAGGTCAGTCTGCCCTCCTCATTTCATCCTCCTTAGTTTATCCTCCTTAAGCAATGGTCGCCCAAGATGTTTCCTGTTATTGAATTTGATAGGACTTCGTGACCTTCTGCAAACTCATGAAATCTTGCAATACTCAGAAACAGAATTGTTTAAGTGCACATATTGATATATTGATTACAATATGATTAAGTAACAAAAGTGAATATTACATTACCATTACATACACAGTGAGATTAATATAAATGTGAATCCATCAATAGAGAAATGCTTTATATATGAGATCACTGGTTTTAGTCCTGGTTTAGTCCTGGTTTAGACCTGCTTTAGTCCTGGTTTAGTCCTGGTGTTAGTTCTGGTTTTAGTCCTGGTTTAGTCCTGGTTTAGTCCTGGTTTAGTCCTGGCCTGTTCCTGGTTTTAGTCTTGGTGTTAGTTCTGGTTTAGAGGCGCACAGGAGGAAGCGTGGTTTACGCCGCGTACGCGAGAAAACACGATCCACACGCGGCTCACGGGAGCACGTCGGTGTCCACGCGAACTACGGAAGGAAACGTGGTCCGCGCGTTCTCAGGTTAATGACGATGATGAAGGTGTGTGTTTGTGTTTGTGTGTGTGTGTGTGTGTGTGTGTGTGTGTGTGTGTGTTTGTGTGTGTGTGTGTGTGTGTGTGTGTGTGTGTGTGTGTGTGTGTGTGTGTGTGTGTTTGTGTATAGGACAGTAGTGCAGACATCATGAGTCTATGCAGGTTGTTTTCAGGCGATATTATATTTATTTTCTTTTATATTTTACGTCGGGAGAATAATTTCCAAGACACGAATGTGTTTTTCCCTGTGCGCTGCTGCTCTGTTCTACTGGCTGTTCGACCTCGTCCATTGTGCCTGACGCCGCCAACGTGAACATGACGTTTACATCGCTCTTACTGCGCACGTTTTGTGTGGGTTTCCGGCAATGAGTGGAATTACCGAAATAAAAAAATGTATAAATGTGTTTTTGTGTGTGTGTGTTGTACCAACAACACATAAAAACAGGTTTTATAATAAAGCAACTCGCATACAGAAACAACAAAGTTAGAGATTAAAAATGAGATTAACGCGATTAAAAAACATAACGCGCTAAATATGACTGTAATTAATTCATCGCAATTAACGCAATAATTTGACACCCCTAATTTAAATACTTTCAGTTTGATCAGAGCTGAGAGCAACACGACATCACAAACATCTCTGGGTTTGTTGGTAAATTTTAAATTTAAATCTGTTTTATTTATTCATCCATCAGATTATTTTTAAAACAGATTTTTGTTAATTTTATCCATATTTGTCTGTTTAGTGTTAAATTAAACAGAGTTGTGCAAATGTTAAAGGACATAACTTTGGAAAGAGTCCAGTCGTTTCAGAGCATTTTTAAACGTCTTAAAGAACTTTTTTTTTTCCTGGTAACTGTATTGTTATTAATATGATATTGTTTTTGTAAACTGCAGTATTGATCTAAAACAGCTTCATAACAGAAACAGCTCAGCTCTTTCCTTTACAGGAAAAGGGAAGGATTTTTATTTTGGAATTTTGAATAGTTTTGATTAAGTACAGGGTAATGAGCATGTACGGGGGAGAAAACTGGAATTTTATGAATTCTCAAGCCTCAAAAACATACAGGATTATTCAAACATGCATCAATCAATCAAAATACAACTCTGAGATAAAGATGATAATGAAGAAATGCTGTTTATAACTTAATTATGAAGCTCTTCAAAGTCTCTTTTACAGAATATGACAAAAAGACAAATGTTGTGTCAACACAAACTGTTTAAATATATCATTTATTTGTCTACAGATCCTTAGATTGACATGTTTCACAACTGAAGACCGTCATGGCAGATTATACTACTAAGAATTACACACACATAATTATATCACATGAGCAGGTTCTGTGTGTGTGGCTCTGTGTTCAGGAATGTGTCTACGTCTGTGAGATGGAGAGGTGCCAGAGTCTTTTGGTTGAATAAAAACAACACTTCCTGAAACTACTCAGAAAAAATAATGTTTATTACCTCCACCAAGGAGGTTATGTTTTTGCCGGCGTTTGTTTGTTTGTTTGTCTGTTAGCAACATAACTCAAAAAGTTATGGACCGATTTTGATGAAATTTTCAGGATTTGTTGGAAATGTGAAAAGGAAGAACTGATTTCATTTTGGGTTTGATCCGGAAGAAATCCTGGATTCTGGATCACTTTGAAATTTTAGTTAACATTGTGGTAAATGGGGCCAAAAATTTTGTTTCTCAATATCTCAGTTAATTATTGACCAAACCCCATGAAATTTGACTCGGGGATGGACAATGGGATCCTCTTTCATATTCCAAATTGAAATGTACGAGACAAATATTTATGGAAAACACAATTAATATGAGGGGGACTGTAGTCCTTGGCGGAGGTCTGCGCTCTCTGAGTGCTTTTCTAGTTTATATATAAATTTATTTTACAAATTATTATTTTAATTGCTACGTCTACGGCCCAAACTTTTCATCATTGTGAATTCGAGAGACAGTGACGCTAGAATGTCCCAACAAAACGTCCATGTCAAAGCCTGATCCTGTCTCAACTCAGGAGAAAAGCACGACTGGACCTGGTGAGTATCTGGATGGAAATAACAGATGAAACAGTGAGTGCTTATACATGCACATCAATAACCCGGTTATGATCGGGTTTTTTGAGTATCCCGGTTTCTTCATGGTGCATGTATACGCAGTAACCTGGTTTCAGTAACCCGGTTATGGCAGTATCCCGGTTATTAGAAACCGTGTTACTGTAGCTGGTTTATTCCAATAGTAACCGGGATACTTGTGGCATGTAAACGCAGTATCCCGGTTACTGCAACATAAAGTTGAGTGCGCATGCGTCCAAAAGACACTTTCCAGCCTTTCACCACAGCAGTAGTGACATAAATAAATTGACCAACATAAAGTGACCAAACGAGTGAAATTACGTAAAATAAAGAGCTGCGCTAAACCTGCACATGTACGACCTGCACTCGTGTGACGCTGAAAAGCTAAAACATGAACTATCTCCTAAACTCTATACGCATGGAACACACTCACCATCATCAGCACCTCTTCTGTCACAGAAATAACACATAATCCACAGAGTCGTGTCATTTAGTCCAAAAAAACTGATCGCATCAGCGGCACAAGGAGCGAGTTGTTTTTATCGCCGCTAACAGTTTATGCTAATTAGCCAAACGGTCTTAAGTTTCGTTTCTATAAAACGTAAACAAATGTGATCAGAGCTGAATGATCTGATCAAACGGGCTGATGTGTCTATAGTGTTTATGGTTTATATGTTGTAAAGTTGAGTTTATTTATGCAGAGATTTTAATGAAGAAATCTGCGCAGTGGATTGTGGGAGATCTCGTAGCTCCTTAGCTTCTTATGCTAAAGGAGCTCACGGTTTGTATTTTTTTGGTTTATGAAATTGATTTAAGTTCATTTTTGCGCCTGCGCATTTGTAAGATTATGTCAAGAAACCGGGACACTCCATTTGATCATGTACACGCGGATATGAGTGTCGCGGTTTCTCAGTGCGCATGTAAACGCAGTAACACGAACACTGACAGAACCGGGGTATGGCTAATAACCGGGTTATTGATGTGCATGTATACGCACTCAGTGAGGCAGCAGTGGAGGTTGTTGTGTCTTTAGGCAAGACACTTGACACACTCTGAACATGGGTTGTGGGTGTTGGTTGAAGAGGTCAGTGGTGCAGGTTGGCAGCCAGATGAATGAAAAATACACTGTAAATCTTAGAAAAAGTGTTGTGAACACAGTCAATAGAAATTTGAGTTTGATGACAAAAATGACTCACCCTGGACCTTTGGTCTTTTTGTTTACAGAGGAAACCAGGAAACTTAAATGCACAAGCAGCTATGGACTCATGCCACCAACCTGTAAGTAAAACCTGAACAGTTACACAACACTCACTGTGCTGCTACTTCTGAATATTTTACCAGTGACTAAAATGTCTAATGTATTTAGGTTTATAAAATAATTGCACATTTCATCTCAGTATCATTTTCTCTTTCATTTAGAAATACTTAGCTGACTTAAAGTCTAAATGTCTAAATTATGGCGTTCACATTTCTAAATAAATGTGGGACTAAATTGATATGGTGTGTGTAGTACATGGGGCTGTTTGCACTTGTTGAGGACGGACCCACTCGGCCCCTCGCCTGATCAGCTCCTCTCCCTTGGGGCTGGATCATTTCAGTCGACACTCTTCCTTCACAGGAACATGCAAAACTGACTGTTGGGATGAAGGGAGAAAGGAACCATTTGATAAAGGCTCCATGTCTCCTCCTGTATCATGACAGATCCTCCCACATGTGACCCTTCTGCAGTCATATTCACTGTATCATGTACTGTCTGTACTGTCTGTACTGTCTGTCTGTACTGTCTGTACTGTCTGTACTGTATGTAGTGTTACAGCATCTGCCCCAAAATCAGTAGATCAGAAGTTTAAACCTCAGAGGAAACAGGTGATAGACTGAGTACAAAAGCTGGTCTGGAAAAGCTTTAGTTTAGGAAACATGTCTCTGACAGCGACATAACTAAACTGGTCAATCATTACACCTTTTGTGAAAATTACTGTAAACACAACAGAAATAACAGCCTTTCATCTGTGTGTGGTTGTAATGTGTGTTTAACTTTTCATGAATTATTAACTATTATGAGTTTGCTGAAAAAAAAAAAAAAGGCGTCATGAAAATAAAACATGTAAAACTAGAAGTCTTTGTCTTTCACAGAGAATGTAAGTCTCTCCAGGTGGTGCTACCCCTCCCTCACCTGCCCCCTCCCTCACCTGCCCCCTCCCTCACCTGCCCCCTCCCTCACCTGTTTCTGCTCTCACCTGCCGCACCTGGCTGCTCTTCACTAGGCAGGAGTCAGTTCAGACACATGTTCATTACAATAAGCAGTGACTTAAACTGTACAAACTGATGTTTAAATAATAAAAGTATTTATTTATTTTCCAGATTAGTTTTAGTACTAATACTCAGTGTATCATGGTGGACTACACCTGGCACCGTTCACAGGGGCACATGTGGTAAGGAGTTATTATCATACAGGAGGAGACAAGAAATCAGAACAGTGACCCTCATGGTGACGTAGAAAATAACACTGCACAATGCGCCCTCTGGTGTTCAAAAGTGGAATTTGTTTACAGTTATTAAAGTTTTCATTCTGTTTGTCAAGTCTTTACTTTCGGAATGCAGGTCCAACTTGAAAAACCCAGGGAAATAGATACAAGGTTCAACTCGGCTTGAAGATTTTTATTGAAATAATTTGATTCCTTTAGTAGTTTTAGTAGTAGTATTTGTAGTTGTAGTAGCTGCAGCAGTAGAAGCAGCAGGTCGAAAACCTTTAAAGTAAACAAATGTGTAATGAAATTAAATTTACATTTTACAATTTCATTAGTTATATAATGTTTTAATTTTAATTCATACACTTCAATTATAATATTTATGATTTATATAAAATATGTATTGTATTTTATAATATTTAGTATACATTTTATACATGAACTTAAATTTTAACCAATCATTTTACCAATCAATTTTTAATCCTATAATATCACTTTTCACAGTTTTAAATTAGTACATGAAATGTAATCTTTTATTATTTCAAGACAAATTTTGATAAAAATACTTTTTTTTTTTATTGCTAAATAACATTTTTTTTTTTTAACTAGAGCTACTTTAACTTGGAATTTACATCATTTACTATAAATCAGATTTACTACTTCATAAATAAACAATTTAGTTATTCAACTTAGCTCTATTTTTGCATTTTCAAACTTAAATTGAATTTATTTACTACTTACTTTAAACTTAAAACTAATTTTAAAGGTAAATTTACTCACCAGCGTCTCTGTGTTTCCCCTCACATTCCTTTGTTTGGTTTTGTTTGTGTTTGTGCACCTGGGCCTAATGAAATGATTCCAGAGACAGACCTGGTTACCTGATTTTTTTTCTCACTGCCATCTACTGGCCAGACTAAAAATTACCTAATCAACTAATAAAAAACGGGAGGGGATTAGAGGAGCAGTGAAGAGGAAGAGGAGGGAGCAGAGGTGAGAGGAGACAGGGCTCAGGAGTGGAGGTGAAGACTTGGTGCAGGGGCTGGACTTTTTGATTTGACACTGTTTTACACACTGCACACTTCAGTTGTGTTTGTCTCCATTTCAGTGTCTGAGCTGAAGCTGGTTCTTCTGGGGAACAACCGGAGTCTGAAGGCCTCAGTGGGAGACCTCGTTTTGGGAACAAATGAATTCACTGAAGATCAGAAATGTGTGAAAATCACTGTAACAATTCAGGACAAACCACTGACTGTGATCTGTGCTCCAGACCTGCAGCTCAACAACTCATCCCAGCAAGAACTACAGCAGTTTATACAAGACATTAAAGATGTGAAATCCCCAGATCCACCTGTGTTCCTGCTGCTGTTAAAGCCTGAAGACTTCACTGAGCAACACAAAATCAGACTAGAGTCAGTCCTGCAGAGCTTCAGTGAGGAGGCCTTTCACCAGTCACTGGTGCTGATGTTCAGATCAGAAAAGACAAAAGTCTCAACAGAGAAATACATGAGAGAGTCACATATAAGAGAAATGATCATGAGGTGCAGGTACAGATATCTGTGTATGGATCACAATGATCTATATAAAAGTGATCTGAGGGAATTTAGACGTAAAGAGTTGTTTACAAAAATCTGTGACATGCTGAAAGAGAAAAAGGCAGTGCATGACTCTGAGGATGAAGACACAGGTCTGAATAAACCCTCTCTGAACCTGGTTCTTTTTGGGAGGAGTGGCTCAGGAAAGACCTCAGTAGCCAAGTCTATTTTAGGGCGAGCAGATCTCCCTGCAGCGAGACCAGGACAGTGTGTGATACATGATGGAGAGGTCTGTGGGCGGAGAGTGTCTCTGGTGGAGCTGCCAGCTCTGTCTGGGAAACCTCTGGAGACAGTGAGGCAGCTGTTTCTCCGCTGTCTCTCCCTCTGTGGTCCTGAGGGTGTTCACGCCTTCATCCTGGTGATACCAGGTCCCCTCACTGATGAAGACAAAAACGAGTTAAAAATATTACAGAAAACACTGAGCTCTAAGGTCAAAGACTTCCTGATCTCCTTGGAGACAGACACTGATGATGGAAACATCTCCAGAAAAAGTGGTGTGAACCTGGATGAGCTGAGTCAGATCTGTGGAGGAGGAGTCCTGTGTCTGAACATCAGGGACCCGCAGGTCACAGAGTTGATGTACACTGTGAACAAACTGGCACAAGGCGGCGCTAGAGCTTACACCAAAGACACGTTTTTAGAAGCTCTGACAGAGGAGGTACCAATGTCTCCAGAGATTAATTTGAGTTCGATGCCTCTGAGTATCGTCCTGATTGGAAAAAGTAGCAGTGGGAAAAATGCTACTGCTAACACCATTCTGGGGGAGAAATATTTCAAGCCCAAAGCTGCTCAGGCAAAACAAGCTGTGAGAAGGTGAGTCGGAAGGTGCTGAGACGCATTGTCACTGTGGTGATCACGCCCACTTTGTTTGATGACAGTTTCAATGAAGAAGAACTCTCCAACTGCGTCTCTGAGTTGTCTCCAGGTCCTCACGTCTTCTTACTGCTGCTGCCGATCAAGAACATCAACGAACAAGACCAAGACTCTCTGAAGCTGATCAAAAAAAGACTCGGAGAAAATGTGGTCAATTATGTTATTGTCGTTTTCACAGAAGGAGAAGTACTGACTGACAATTATACCATTGAGAACTACATAGAAGAATGTGATGTCTTTGTTAAGGAAATGTTAAACCAATGTCAGGGCAGGTACCATGTTTTAAATACAAATGAAACTAATGACACACAAGTTGCTGAATTACTGATAAAGATTGACAAAATGTTGCAAAAAAACAACTCCATCTGCTTCACACCAGAAATGCTTCAAAAAAAAGAATTAAAAAATAAGCTGAAAGAGGCCGAGGAAAAAGAAAACATTGAAAAAGAACTGAAGGAGCTCATATCTTTCTGGAAAAAAGTCAGCGTGTGTGCCTCTGTGGCTTTGCCTGTGTCCATTTACATCAAGACTTATTATTCTGAGAAAATAACGACAACCTTACGTCTACTTAAAAATGTTATGTTCAGAGCTTGATCCAAAAACTTATCTGGGTCTCTGGTTTTCATTTTTTCTTACATTCAGGAGCTTTTGTCTATTCTGAAAAAAAAAAAAAAAAAGCAGTAGAAGAAAGTATGTGCTCCCCACTGGCGACAGTGTTGAACGCAGCTCAACAGTTCTAACAGAACTATTTAAAAAGGAACTAGAACTAAACAATTAAATTAGTGCTGTTAAAAATATTGCGTTATTAAAGAGTTAACGCAAAACAATTTTAGCTGTGTTAATTTTTTAACGGCATACTTTTTTTTTTTTTTTTTATTGCAATAATTTTGTCATAAACTGTGGCCACTGCTGGTATGTTAGAAAAAACTACAGGATACGACTGTAAACAGGAAGCAAAACAATTTGTATGAAACTGAGGAACCGTGTCAGGTGCGCTGATGTTATTCATACAAAGAAAACACAAAATAAACTCTGCTCCAAAACATACGGCGAATCCGCACTGACCTTCAGTAAGGACTGGGACAGAGACAGAAGTTCTCACTGCTCCACGCTGTCCATAAACTCACGGAGGAGTGTATCGCAGCAGGACTCATATCGGTCGCACTATTTAATCGATACTTCTGCCAATGGACTTATTTTCTCTGCTAAAACATAAACTATAATAAAATCTATGCTGAACCCAAGATGGCGTCATGTTGTTTTCAGTGATATAATTTTCTCTTCTGCATTTACTTCCTCAGTGCGGGCGAGCTCCTCCCACGTCACATGGAGCGTTTGGACCAATCAGAGCGAGAGCTGCTAGAGCAAGTGCGACTCAAAGCGGCGAGGCTCAGTCTGACAAAGATCACTTTTAGGCACTTTAAGGATTTAAATATTTTTAAAAGTTTATGTTGTGAAAATAAGAAAGAATCCTACAAAATCTGACCTTTGTGAAAGCCGGATGTCCTGTCAGAACACGGGCAGTTTGAATTCCCAAAATACATTTCGCTCTGTGGGAGAATTCTTTCTGGGCCCAAACTCCCGGGAGCTGAAGTACCTGGAGCGACCACTAGTCGGTCTAGACCCGGGCAAAGGGGGAGGGGCTCATCCAGTTTTTCTTATAGATCCATGCGCTAAAAGCGTTCGCTCTGCTGCGCGACATGTAACCAAACAGTGCCGTGTGATGACGTCATGGCCCTTAATACAGCAGCGTTGGGACAAACACAGTTGCAGTAAAAAAAGATAATAATCCATAAAGCTTATCCACTTTTCTATATTGATAAGAGTATTAAAATTATTATTCAACAGACAAAAATGTGCAATTAATCGCAAGTTAACTATGAGATTAATCGTGATAAAATATTTGAGTCGACTGACAGCACTAAATTACCATCCACCCGCCCGCCGGCGGGCGATTTTCCAATAAAAAATGTTCACTCTGTATATTCACCTTCATTATTGTTTTCACTACTGGCCATACATCGTTTGAAAGCTTAATTTATCAATAAAACAACCATATCATTCATTTTATGCCGTACAACGAGCCCGAATTTATGTGAATTTAAAATTCACATCATAAACAAAGAATAAGATACGTGTTTCTTACCTTTGAGCGGTTCTGTCGGTCCAAAACGCGTTCAATCCATGAAAAGTTGTACTCAATAAGTCCGTAATAATCCACAGAAAAAGAATATCAAGTTGTTTTTCCAAAAAATAATTCCATGTGGGGGAATAATCCAGAAAATCGTCGTCCGTATGAGTGGATGAATCCGTGAATGAAAATATTCTGTCTCTTCTCCGCCTCTTCTCCCGCTCTCACTTCCCTTTCTCTCCCGCTCTTGGGTGCGCTTGTTTTCCTCACACTCTTAGCTTCAAAATGAGACCCTCCCCGCTGTTGTCGGTGGCGGGGTTTAGGTGGGACAAGCCGCTGAAGAAGCTAACGCACTCACGTACTTCCTGGCTTTACGCACGCGTCATCAGTTTGTTTACGGGAAATCTCTTCAGTCATTGGATCTTCCAGAAAGTGATTGACATATTGTTTTAGCCAATCACCAGAGCTTTCAAACGGTGGGTGGGACATTCAGATTGTATTGGAAACGGACCCTGTGTTTATACGCGCAGCCGAGAGGGACACAGAGAGAGACACAGAGAGCAGTAGTAGTAGTAGCAGAACTGCCAGTTGGAAGACAATTTTGGCTACTTTTAGTTTTTTTTCTTGAGAAAACATGCCTAAAGCTCAGAAGAATTAGTATTATAATAATAACAATGATTATTATTATTATATTATTATTATTATTATTATTATTTTGGCACAAATTTGGCAATCTTGTGTTGAATTGCCATTTTGTTTACACAAAGGCTCACAGCATCAAAACCCTTTGTCCTAGAGATCTGAAATTCTACACAGTTGTTGCCAACAACTTGAACAATGAGTGTAGTGAGTCACAAATGCCTAGAATGAAGTATGACCAAGCTAAGGCCTTTATTTTTTTTCAAATTTTTTTTTCGAAGCAAAAAAATACAATTTTTTTTTCAATTTTAATTGACTGTACTGTAGGTTAGGCAGCACTCACAGTCTTCATGTACATATCTACAGAAACTAGAAGGCCTAAGCTTTAAAATGGTGCCTCACACAAGCATGTGGGTTCTAAGGTTTTCTTTTTAATAAGCTATGGCATTTGGGTATGTCTTACCATTGTGCACACACCAAAATGAGGCGGGTGGTAACAGGTTAAATAATCTCTCACTTCATTTTTTTAGCTCTTTTACAACAAATGTGATCTGAAAACTGGACACCTCCATGTTTGTTTTTGTTGATGCTCCTTTTCTTCCGTTGATCAATTCTCAAACTGAGTTTGGGTATCCTCTGGTATTTAACCTAATACATATTTTAAATTAGAAACAGTATAAAAGTGCAATATATTCCAAATATCATTTAAGTTATTAACACTTTAAAGGGCAAATATTATACATTATTTGTACTGTTGTTGAACTTTAAACATGCTCTTTGATTCTTTTAGAACAACTTTCTTGTTCTTCTTCTTTTGGACAACAGACACCATGTTCTCACAGATCCACTCCCTCTGCAGAGAACTGGGCTTAGCTCACATCTACTGGCAGCAGACAGAATCATCATAGACAAATCACAGAACAACTAGAGGTTCCAACCTTTTCTGACATGTTAACACAAGCAAGTCGTTCTAATGAATGTGATTTGATGATAGAAACACTCAGATTTTGGGTTATGAACTTAAAAACAGTGTAGGAGACTATGCGACTTTTATTTGTGATATAACAATAATGGAAAATTCAAAAATGCTTCTTTTGTGCTAGATGGAGCAGATTACTGAACAGTAAGTGTGAATTTTAAAAACCTGTGTGTTTTGGGGAAAAATGTTAAGTCAGTTTTACACAATAGCTTATATCAGTTGTTGTTCCCAAAGTGTGAAGAGCTGTAGCTGCACATGGGGAACCTATTATGATTTATAGTGATTTTTTTTTTTTTAAAGTGCAATATTTTCCCTCTCATTTATATTTTAAAAGTACATATAATATTGCCTGTGGTCTTAATAATGTTGTAAACTGGTAAATTAAACAAATAAATTATGCAAAAATCAGTTCAAACTCAATTTTCTTTCATGCTTGTTACTACTTTCAGTTTCCATTTTTAAAGTGCTGTAACTGCTGAAAATACCTCCATAGTTATACATGCAGGACACCTCCAGCACGATGTCACTGCAAAGTATTCAAGTCTACATACCAGTCACCAAGTCTAACATCGAAACTTATGTGTTGTTTTGAAATGAATCCTCCTTTTTGGTTTTTGGGTCCACTGCTCCTGACAGATTTAACCCCGAGACGCTGAAGAACAGGACAGATGCAGAGACAAAACTGAGTAGATGTTTTAGAGCACCACTGTCTCCCTCTGCTGGACACTTCTCTCTACTACAGCTACTACAAGTATAAAACGGTGTAGTTTTATTTTATTTATTGCATTTATATCAAAGGTTATAATATTCACTAGGGTCGTGGGTGTAGTTTCCAAAAACACCAGACGTTTTGGGACGTGTCCAGTTTAACATGTGCACAGGCCTGTTTGTATAAAAGGGACTGAATAGGTCTGTTTTTATTAGACCTGGAGTCAGATCTGGATTCACATTGACCAAACCTGAAGCTCACAACAACAACAACAACAACAACAACAACAACAGCAACATGCTATGAACTGTCAACAAAAACTGGGAAATCCTATTACAAACTTATTCTAATTTTTTACTATTTGACGACCTGAGTCAGACCAAGACCAGAGTCCAGACCTCAACCTGTGGAGAGGCTGCAGAGAGGAACAACCACCACCAGGGGGCAGTAAGTATTACACATGAAACTGTAATATAACAACTCTGTACAGGGCCAGCAACAGAAATTTGTGAGCCCAGAGCAAGAAGCATCACATGGGCCCCCCTGGAATATAAATTAATAAAAAGAGGGTTTAATCCTGGGCCCCTAAGCAGCTGACATCGTCAACACTCTCTAGGGTTAAGTAATTAAGACTAATTATAGAGCACCTTTCAGAGATAAACATCACAAAGAACAATGATCAAAAACAACATGGACAAGATATAAAAAAGAGATAAAGAACACAGTGAACCAAAAGCTTGTTTAAATAACAGTGTCTTGAGCTGCTTTTTAAAGAGTCAGTGGAGTTTGCCTCATGTACGACTAGAGGAAGGACAGTTCATTATTCATATGGGCCACAGTCTGAAAACACAGGTCCTCTGTGTTTTAAAACAGGACTCAGGGATCATCACGAGACCAGAGAACCAGAGGATGCAGCCTGTGTCTGTTCATTTAGAGCTCTGGAAATTATAATCATGATTTAAAAAAACAACACACTTTATTTGGGCAGCAGTACATGTACTTGTAATAAAGTACAGGTTTAGTCATTTAACTACATGAGTACAAATGTTCAGTACTTTTTGATTTGTGCCCATGTGATCTACATCAGGAAACAAAGAGTCAAAAAAACACCTCTTCACCAGAACCACTGTCCCAACCAGTTAAATAACGTATCATTCACTTTGGAGGTTGGCACAATCTCAGATGAAGGGCGGATCAGGGGAGAACAGGACAGAATTTGCATTTTAAATGTCAGATTGTAAATTTGTTAACTCAGTTTATGGTTCATATCTCTGTAATTACAGACAGGGCCTACATAAAAAAAAAAAAAAAAAAAATAAATCTGATGCAAAATCTGTTTTCTCTGTCAGTACAAATAAACAAAACAAAACAAAGTGATTTAGTTTTTTCAACCCCAAAGACGCGATTGTTTCAGCTGAAAGGACTTTAAAGCAGAAGAATATGATGAGTTTGTGACAGATTGTGGAGGCTCTGAGTAAAACTACAGAACTACACAATATTTGTATTTGTATCGTCTGAACTCGAGTCATGACCAGAGCAGAAACAATGTGGTTAGTACAAGTTACCGAGCCCTTCCTCCTCCTCCTCACAGATAAGATCATCTTTAGTTTGCAGAGGTGACAGGACAGTGACAAGAGTAAAACAATAATACAAAACTCACATTATTATTATTATTATTATTGAGGTGTTTTTGGTAGATGTACTTTTTTCTAAAACTGTACCTGTTCTACACTGAAAAAACGGTCTGAGAGGAGTTGCTCAAATTGCAAAAACAAATCTGACAACAATAACATCACTTTTTTACGTTTCTCTGTCCAGCATGTTTAAATCTTACAAACATCACTTGATTGTGGCCGATGTGAGACCTGCAGGTTTTAATCAGGTTGAGGAAACATGACTTTATTATAATTTCTGTGGTGAGGCTCCTCCCTCTGGAATTCTCCTCCCCAAAACTTTTGGAGGGAAAATTCAGATGTAACAGGACACAGGACAGATCCAGGAGCAGAGACACACAGTGTGGAGCAGGAGGATCATGAAGCTGATCTGGAGGTGAGACTTTTCAAAGATTTTATTATGTGCTTCTCCAGCCTAGAATGTCGTCATTGTTAAAACATGTTTGTGTTGTTTTATTTGAAATTAGAGTTAATGTAAGGACTCCTTGAAACAAATTGTTTTTGACTGTCCATCTACAAGAGTGTGACAGTTGTATCAGATGTGAATGTGTTTGTTCCAGAGTCGTCTACAAACACAGAGACGTCCAGGTTCTGCTGCAGCTGTGGGGAAGTTCATGAATGTTATAGTTGATGTTTCAGAAAAAAGGAAGATGTTTGAGAACAAAACACAGAGCACAGATGAACAAAGTAAGTAAACCAACTAAAATTATTTTAAATTTTTTCAAAATGAACTTCCTATTGAAACTGTTATCGTACTTGTACTTTATACCAGATGCCCTCCCTGTTACTGTGTTTAGAGGAAGAAAAGCAGCACATGGTGAGTTTTGTTTCTGCAGATACACTTCTAATGTTCTTGTTCTTCTGTTCTGGTCCATTATTGTAGTAATAAGTGCTTTAAATGTATTTAAACATGTACAACAGAGTAGATGATCAGAATGTGATCATCATGTGTTATTCTGTGTCCACAGAGACCAGAGCTTCACTGGAATAAATCTTCACACTGTCCAGCTCCAAACTGTGTGTCTCTGTGTGTTTGATTCTGTTTAAGACAAAACAGAACTGTGGAAAACTAAAGACTGTTTTTGTTTTCTTTTACAGAATTAGATCAATTAAATTAAATTATACAGACTTATACATTTCATGATAAGGTAACATAAGATAAATATGCATATTCAGCATGATTTGTTCAAATTTCATCAACATGAAAAAGTGATGTTCATGTTCCGAGAAAAATATGTGTAGAGGATCGAAAAAAGTTTCAAAGCCTAAACATAATTTTATTGCATGGAACCGCTTTCCATAACTTTTTTACGCAAATCCAGCAACTTTTTTTTTCAGTGTAGCAAAAAACATCCTGAGGAGTGAACCTGACTTCCTGCCTATTTCTCATTTGTGTTGCCGTTTCAAAGCTCAAATCCAGTTGGTTTAAACCTAAAATGCGTCTCTCTGATCTGAATGGTCTCTACCTAAACCTCAGCACCTGCAGACAATCCTGAATCAGAGCCTCTGCTGCTCCAAAAACTGACAATGAGACAAACTTCTGTGTGTCTCGATCTGCAAGTTAAAGCTCTGACACCACAGGTTCAGTTGTGATTTTAATTTAAATTTTTTGACTGTAAAAATCCAGGCTGCATACAGTTTCTTAATCTGAAAATGTTCTTTTAATCTTACTTTCTTTTTTGTTTTCAGAGCGCCCACGTCTCCTCAAACCTCGAACCCGGAACCATGGACCAGGACCCGAGACCTGGTTCAGTCCTCGGACCGTCCAAGATCCAAGAGAAAGAGCTCAAAACTAAACCAGGACTAACACGAACCAAATTCAACTGGAGGCAGCTTTTCAAAATCAGGCCGAAAAAGAAGAACAAAGCACGAACTTGGAACATTTTCAACGCAAAATGCTTCAAAATTGGACCAAAAATAAAAGTTCAGTCAAAGAAAAGTGGAGTTTTTGTCCCGTTAAAGGTAAATGTGAAGCTAAAACCTAAACCGTGTCAACTTTTTAAACGCAAAACCGAAGTGAAAGTCGAGGAAACGCCCAAAGATCTGGACAAAACTGTGAAACAAAACCAAACTTTTGCTCAAAAATCACTGAAGAAACGTTACGTGAAAGAGAAAAAGTGTAAGAAATTCGTGAATGAGGAAAATTCAAAACTAAAAACTAAACCCAGGCTGGATAATTCGATCAGATCTGTGCTGTGCTTCGTCGTCGTCTCGATAGCGGCTGAGGTTCTGTGGTTCTGTGTTCTGCAGCTCTACTGGCTCTGTGTGAAGCTTTACCCGCTCACATGACGGTCGCCGGTTCAATTCCTGATACTGTGGACTTCTGTGTCCTTGGGCAAGAAACCTGAATTTAAAAAGTGACTTGGAGTTTCAAATTTTCACAAAACTAGGAGTTGTTTGAAAAGAGTGAAGGAGTTTTAAGTAAATGGGCTTTAAAAACAAGGAGGAGCTTTGTGGATTGTCACACGATGATGCAGATGCAGTGGGTTCTTTATAAAGCACAAAACGACAGAATATTTAGTTCATAATAATTTATTTATTTTTGAGTAAAAACTTTTGTTCATTCACAATATTTTTTTGTCCAAACATAAAATAAAGTTGTTTGATTGTCCTCGTGTCTCGACGCCTTTTTTCTCTTTTAATTTACAGTCTTTAAGTTCAGCCAACAGGAGTTTAACGTCTGTTTTTGTCCAACTAAAATAAATAAATACAATAATATTTAGGCTAGAGAGTGTTTAGTAATAGTAATAGTACAACTCTATTCAAAGTATTTCTACTATTCTAATTAGAACAGATTCTAGAATGGACAGATTTAAGCATTTTTTAAAATCTCTTAATAGTTATTTGTTTAGATTTTTTTAATAGCATATTTACTTACTTTTACTTTGCAGCTGGTGTCATCAACATTTCCCTGGTGGTGTGATGCTAACTAGAGGCACTGCTCTGTCTGAAACTCGATTTAGACTTTAATCTGAGTTTTGTTTTTACACAATCTGATCAGAAAGACCTGACTTTAGCCCTATAAGTACAGCCTGGGGTCGTCTGATAATTTGGAAAGTGTGTAAATGACTCTATTTTACTGACGTTGACTGAGATTGAAAGAGAAAAGAACGTGGAAAGAAAAGAAAGAGACAGAAAAGGCGCAATTATAACAAAAAACCCTGAGATTTAGATTCGCACGAGACGAGTATATCACCGGACGTCTGTGTTTAGCGAAATATAGTAGGTCATTTGCAGCAGAATTTTTACTTCACAAATGACAGACATGGAGCATTCGCACGGGATTAAGATCTCAGGAATCCTCCGCAGTTATTACAAATCACCAAAGGTCCACAGGTAAAACTGATCCCGTGCGAACAGAGCTGCAGATGAAACTACAACAGGTAACGTTACGGTCACAATTAGAGCCCTGCACCCGTGGGACCCAACGCAAAACAGTGCGGCGCGGGACACATTTTGAAAGCTCTTTGCAGGCGCGGGAGTGGGAGCAGGACTGCACAATTCGGGAGCGGGCGGGTGGGATGATAAACTGCAGTCCCGCAAACTAAATATGAGTGTAAAGTCAAATATACAAATGATTCATGTTTGCCGATCATGCATCATTTGTGCTGGATATTTTATTTGGCATTAATAAAAACATTTTAAGCAGCCTGAGCTTGCAGATGTTGTCTAATCTAATTCCTTTCTGCTTCTCCGTGTTGGATAGAGTTTAAGAAAGAGAACGTTTCCATCTTGCGGGGGGAGCAGGACAAAATATCACGGATGCAAGTGGGAGCGGGAATGAAAATTACAATTCTTTGCAGATGTGGGCAGGAGCTCAGAACTCTAGTCACAACCTAGCCAGCGTTAACCAATAGTTTTTCAGTTTTCAGTTTCAGTCACTCTGATGTTTTTGTTGAAAATCAAACTCCTAAAAAGATCCGTAAACACTCTGATCACAAGCTCCTGGAAATGTGCTCTTTAAATCCATTTTGCACACATTTTCAGCTTCTTCGAACGGCCGAGGTTTGCCAATGTGTGCATTTTGACACCACAGCGACTGCTTAACATTCCGCCATAGACATCCATGCAGAACACCCCAGCGTGACGTCACTGCGAAGTATCATTTATCCTCCTGTTCTTGAACTTTGACGCGTTGTGTAACTTTCCCGGAGGGTGGAGGGTCCGTCAGACGCTTTTCTCCATGGATATTTAGTTATTGCTTTGACTGGAATGTTCCACAGTGTTGCATTAAACCTTTTTATCGCCACGGAGACCAAACCAAGACCAAGGTTACGGGTCAGATCTGTGGAGAGGCGACCCACTCACAGTCAGAATGTTTGTTTTTCACGGTGTTTTTGGGCGATAAAACTAATTGTAAGTGAATAAATGTAAAGTAGAGCTGTTTAAAGTCACACTGCGGAACATTCCAGGCAGAGCAGTGACGTATCCATGGAAACAAGCAGGTGACGGACCAGAACAGCGACACAGTAGACCTCAGGGGTTGAGTTTGAGCGAGGCGGGGTGCACGTTGCAGATGTCGAACCAGCGCTCGTGGATCTGTCTCTGCGGCAGGAGCGAGTTCTTCGGCAGGTGCGGGCGTCTCCCGCGGTCCCTGCCGTTCGTCACCTGCCAGAAGGACGTGTCTTTGAACAGGAACAGTGCATTGTGGGAGTAGGAGAAGTAGGCGGCGTCCAGGTGGGAGTCGGGGTGGTCCCCAGGGTCCAGAGGAGGAAACGCCGAGCGGAGACGTTTAGGGAAACCACGAGAAACACGACCGGAGTCCACGCTGAAAGCAAACACCTGAGGGAAGGAGGGAGGAGGGAGGAGAGGAGGGAGGGAGAGGAGGAGAGGAGGAGAGGAGAGGAGGAGAGAGGAGAGGAGGAGGGAGGAGAGAGGAGAGAGGAGGAGAGGAGGAGAGGAGGAGAGGAGAGAGGAGGAGAGGAGGAGGAGGAGGAGAGAGGAGAGGAGGAGAGAGGAGAGGAGGAGAGGAGGAGAGGAGAGGAGGAGAGAGGAGGAGAGGAGGAGAGGAGGAGGAGGAGGAGAGAGGAGAGAGAGGAGAGAGGAGAGAGGAGAGAGAGAGGAGAGAGGAGGAGAGGAGAGAGGAGGAGAGGAGGAGGAGGAGGAGGAGGAGAGGGAGGAGGAGGAGAGAGGAGAGGAGAGGAGGAGAGGAGGAGAGAGGAGAGAGGAGAGGAGAGGAGGAAGAGAGAGAGAGGAGAGAGAGGAGAGGAGGAGAGGAGGAGGAGGAGAGAGAGGAGGAGAGAGGAGAGAGGAGAGGAGAGGAGGAGAGAGGAGAGAGAGAGGAGAGAAGAGAGGGAGGAGAGAGAGAGAGAGAGAGAGGAGGAGAGGAGGAGAGAGAAGAGAGGAGGGAGAGAGAGGAGAGAGGAGAGAGGAGAGAGGAGAAGGAGAAGAGGAAGAGGGAGAGGAGAGGAAGGAGAGAGGAGAGAGAGAGAGGAGGAGAAAGGGAAGAAAGAGGGAGGAGAGAGAGAGGAGAGGAGGAGAGAGAGGGAGAAAGAGGGAGGAGAGAGAGAGAGGAGAGAGAGGAGAGGAGGAGAGGAGAGAGAGAGGAGAGAGAGAGAGAGAGAGGAGAGGAGGAGAAAGGGAAGAAGAGGGAGGAGGAGAGGAGGAGAGGAGGAGAAAGAGAGAGGGAGGAGAGAGAGAGAGAGGAGAGGAGGAGAAAGGGAAGAAAGAGGGAGGAGAGGAGGACATTTTTTGTAAGACAACCTCACTCTTCCCAGTCTGAGCAGCTCATCAAAACAATTATATTTACTACTTTTTTTTATTAAGAAATACAATTAATATTATGCAGAAATTAGTTCAGCAGTTTGGCCTCCACAATATTTTCTGTTTCTCATGTGGCCCCATGGAAAAAATAATTGCCCAACCCTGATATTGTCTATTGTACATAAACAACACCTTTTTTTTTTTTTCAAATAAAAAAAACCCCAAAACTTTACAACCTTTCCAAGTCGCTCACCAAGTGATTTGTGAACTTGTGCTGAAGTTCATTAAACACCTATTATCATTATATTGTCTCATTTTGACTGATTTGTGCATGAATCAAAGGCTAGTGGTTCATAGTTGTGTCCTTGGGCAAGACACTTAACCCACCTTGCCCACAGTGTCTGTGTGCACTGGTGTGTGAATGGGTGAGTGGTTCCTTGTTGTAAAGCGAATTGAGCCTTGAAGGTGGAAAAGCTCTATAGAAAAATGTGACCATTTACCATTGACCATAGTTTACAGCCTCTAACTGTTCCCATCGAAGGCCACAGCTTTTATATTTACTCTAGAAAGAGGTTCTGTCGCTCTCTGTTGTATTGATTTGCACTGCAGTGTTAGAATGGTAGAAAATACACATCTCTTGTATAATAACGTTCGTGTTGCTCACCAGCGCCCCCTTGAAGAAGTAGATGTGTCCGTCTCTGCGGTCGAACACGGCGGTGTCGATGGGCGAGGGGACGCCGGGGAAGCCCTCGGAGATGAGTCTGGGGTAGGTCAGTCCCTCTGGGTCTCTCCTGAACACCTGGTCCTGGTCTGTGTCGTACCTCCAGAACTGAGAACCTGGACACAGGAGGAAAAAGAAATACAGGAATCACAGAAACATTTATACGACTGTAGATATTTTCCTTTAACCATCTGGTTTACACACAGACTGTATGTAAATGGACAGGAAGTGAACATGGGGGAACTTCTGGCTCCATCAACTCTGGCTCCAATTAACTTTACACTGAAAAATCATCTCCCCTCTCTCTGTACCTGCTGCTGTGAACCTCGTCATTTTGGTTTTAAAATGTTCATATAACCCACTCTACATGATCCTGGCGTTTTTATTTCACTATTTTTGTAAATAAATTCCTTTTCCAAGTATGGACCTGGCTCCAAATTTGCTCCTATAAATGCAATGCCATAACTGTAATTCAGTGTACACGTTTTAGGATTGTATAGTTTTTGTTTGTTTGCTTTTGGGGGTTAAACATATTTTTTAAATCTTATTCCAGACCTTGGCATTGTTCAGCTTCTGGGCCACATACATTTGGTCGACTCTGACTGGTCCGGTCCGTAAGATCATTTAGAATTACAAAATAAACATATTTTATAAAGTTTACTTCATTCATAGACTAAAGCTGCTTTGCTTTTATTTTAGAGGTGTTTTTTATGACATTTTTCATTCAGCAGCCTCACTTTTTCATTGATTAGTCAGAACATAAACTGTTCCCAGTCTGAGCAGCTCGTCAAAACAATGATATTTTCTGCTTTTATAATAAAGAAATAAAATTAATATTATGCAGGATTGAGTTAAGCATTTTGGCCTCCACAATATTTTCTGTTTCTCATTTGGCCCCATGGAAAAAATAATTGCCCAGCCCTTATCTAAAAGGGGCTGTACCCAATTTTTCCACATGTATATTTGAGCAAAATGAGCTTGGCCCAGTACAGATATATTATATAACCAGCTCTTGGAGTCAAAATATCTGATAATCAAGAAGTGCACAGTTAGCATACTAGTTGCTGTTAGAATTACCATGACAGTCTCTGAGAGTCTGTTTACATTTACAAACTCAAAATACTCGGTTTCACCTTGTGATGTCATCAAGTGGTAGTTTTGTTTAGAGAAATGGCAATTTCAGTAGCCTGATTCATCAGACGGTTTCACTTCATGGAAACCGTCTGACCTCGCAGCATCAGGATTCGTTCGCTCGACGGTAGGCGGGTACTTTTTTTATTTAACCAATCGCTGCTGTTTGGTCGTGACGTATGTAATGCACCAAATCCCATAGGAAGAAGGACAATAACTTCTTTCCCCTTGATAAAATTCACCAAAAATTCTCTTTGTTCCGTCTTTAAATCCTCAATCTCAGGAATCGGTGACAACACGGAATGTCTGGCTCTTCGCTGATTGGCTGGTGCCCAAACTTGCACTTCCGGGGTTTTTGTGAACCCTCTAGTGTGTTCTGATTCCTGATCTGGTCTCTGGAGAGAAATTAAATTGAGTGGAGAAATTGAGGGCTGAAATCATCCAAAGATTTTAATGAAGGTGTTTGGAGTTTAAAAACACAGTGGAGCACTTGACATCACAAGTTGGAAAAGAATGTTTAGTTTGAGAGAGGAACTGAGCTTAAATCTTCAGGGTTTGTGTGTTAAACATGTGACTGAAACAAAACACAACTCCAGGTCTGTTTGTGACGAGGAAATGACATTAGAACAGATCAGATCATATTTACATTTTACCTTTAAAGCCGTAGGTATTTTATGTAGTACATGTTTATATTGTACCTTTAAAGAAGTATACGCGGTCGGTCCTGCGGCTCCACACGTGCACGAAGGCGTCCACCCCGCTCAGAGGCAGCCCCCTCCAGCCGCTCTGCAGGGACACCGGGTCGCCGTACCTGGTCCTGTTGTTGCGGTTCTCGTAGAGCCAGTACCAGCCCTGCCTCATGAAGTACGTGTTGAACCTGATCACCACCTCCCCGAGCGCCGTCCTCTCTCTGCGGATCCAGTCGAACACGGTGTTGAAGCGCCCCCTACAGCCACCTGAGCGAACGCACGGGAGGACAGATCAAAATAAAGAAATTAACTACAGAAAAATGTCCGTAACCTGCACTCATACAGTTTTAGAAAAGGTATTACAACCACAACTGAGCCAGAGTCTTAAGACCCCCACACACTACAGGATTTTTCAGTCTTAAACAATTTTTAAACGTGCGACAAAAAGCACACACCACCGACAAGAGGAGAATCTAAGGCTGCGTTCAGACTGCAGCCTGAAGTGACCCAAATCCGATTTTTTGGCTCTATGTTCCTGTATCTGATCTTTTAATGACAGTCTGAACCACACAGATCCGATTTTTTCAAATGTGACCCAGGACACTTGGATATGTGCTCCTGAAACTGATACATATCTGATCTTTTGACATGTGACTTCAGTCTGAACGGCCAAAGTGCATTCATCCACCTACACGTTATCAACAAGACACAAACGTCACTATTCTGCGCTGAAGTCGGCGAAAATTGTTAATGAACTCCATGTCACTGAAGTGAAGCACATCACCACTCACCACAAAACACCACCACCAAAAACCTCGTCCTTCTCCTTCTCAATCTCCTCCTTAAAACAAGTAAGTTGTTCATGTTCTGGCTCCGGTACGAGAGGAACTTTAAAATCTCCAGGTGCTCGATGCTGCGTCCATGTTTGGACAACTTCCGTAAACACAGAGACGCTCGCTGCGGTTGACGTCGTCGTGTCTCCAGTGTCACATGTGGGACACTTTTGGGCTGTTTAATGTTCACACTGGAGTCACATACAAGTCACATTTAACTGGAAATGTGAACGACCTCGAAAAAACATCAGATTTCACAAACAAATCCGAATTGAGCGTTAAACCCTGCAGTCTGAACGTAGCCTAAATCTCCGATCACAAAGACTGTTGTTCCTGTTCTGCTTTGTGTTTTATTACAAGGTTTGTTTGGTAGGAAGACAGCGCCAAAACCTGTTTAAATCAGCTGAGCAACACGTCACAGTAACATCACGTGTTAGGAAGACCACTAATGAGCAGTCGAAACTGTCAGCTACGAAAACAAACTCTTGGTCTGAATAAAGAACCTAAAAACATAAATAGTAAACGAGCCTTTCTCACCGTAGAGGTTCTGAATGGCTTTGCGGTCCATCCAGTCGACCTCGAAGCTGGACTCGTGAGGCAGGTAACTGGGCTGCATGATGGAGCCGGGTCTGTGGATGTGCGGGAGGCCCAGGACGTGACCGATCTCATGAACCGCCACCTGCAGGCAACAGATCGGGGTTTATATTCACTACAGAAACTACTGAAAGGAGTGACCCATAAATCTTCTGTTGTGTCCAGACTTAAACCCAGTCTGTATACTGTAAGTGCATGTACCTTGAGCAGACTGATGCCTTTCCCTGCGCTGGGTCCAGTGAAGTGTTCGTCGTCGTCAAAGTGGATGTCGCCTAAAAACCAGGCGTGAGCGAACTCCCTCCCCGAACCGTCAAACCTCTGCTGACAGCCCAAGTGACGCCCTGCACCGAAACAACAAACACGTCAAATATAAAAATATAACTACATAAAACTACACTGTTCGACATTAGGGACACTTAGAGGTGGACCAGGAGCATTTTCTACGTATCGAGGTATGTGTCGTATTGGCAACTTCTTGATGACACCGAGCCTTAGCTGACGCCATGAAGACCACAAAGCCGAGTTACTGGTCACATCTGTGCAGACTATGAAAGCATGTTTTTAAGGTATTATTGCTGAATAAAAAACAGCTATAAATGAATAAATGTAAGATAGGTACGTTTAAAGCTACCATTTTTCCCCACCAGTATACAGCAGGTGTGGAACTTGTCCTCCCCTAACGTGACCAGATTTTCAAAGTCAAATAATAAACAGGGTTCCCACTCTTTCTCACTGACAAAATTTCAAAACTTAAAAAAAAAAAAAGTGAATTTTCCATGACATCACAGCAGAATTGATCAGAATTTGAGGGCTAAATATGAAATTAACTTTAAATAACTCTTTCCACTCACCTTATGGTTTGGGATTATAGTTTTTTAACATTCAAAATCCTGTCAGTGCATTTATTTATTTATTGTCGCCTCTTTTAAACAAAAGTTGAAAACGATCTATTAAATTTAAAAAATGACTTTTTTTTGGCTTTGGAAAATGACATTTTCAGTGTCCATGGCTTTTCCAGGATTTCCATGACTGTGGGAACCCTGAATAAAATGGTGAAACGAGTGCATAATTAAGGAGAATTGTTCTGCACTCGGCCCATTCATGACGAACATGAGTCAGTAGAGTCACATTTTCTTTGTGTTTTGGTCGTTTTTAAGCTGCTTTTCTGTGTTTTAACTAAACAAATGTCAATGTATGTCTCTCTTTACTGTTGGCTTGGGATCAAATTGGTCAAAAATAGAGACACCAGGGACATTTCTTTGGATTGGTTTTGTATAAATCTGCAGCGACAGGGGACACAGGCTCAAAACTGGGACTGTCTCAGGTAAATGTGGACGTCTGCCAGTCTAATCACGAATGGCAGCTGCAAAACTGTGGAATATTCTACGCAAAGCAATAACTTATCCCTGGAGTAGGTGGTGGACGTTGTCAAGCCCCCTCAGAAAAGTTACACAGTGCATCTTTAATATAAGTATTTCCGTCACCTGTCCCAAACCCGAGCCGGATGTCGATCTCCTCCAGCGGCGACGCAGTGTCCTCGATGAACTCCAGGGGGCAGACCTCGCTCCACATCCTGAAGGCCAGTCTGAAGACGTACCTCTGCTCCTCCACCGAGAGCTGGCTGCTGTAACCTTCTCCCATCAGACGCCACCTCAGGACGCTCTTCGAAAACGCCATGTACCCGCCGGCCTCCCTGCGCCTCCGTCTGCGCCCGGACAACACGGACGCGAGGTGGCGCTTCCGACGAGTAACCGCGGGATTTTCAACAGTTTCTGTGATTCCAGAACTTGTTTTGTCCATGTTTTGTTGTTGTGTTTTGTTTGTAGTTTTATTAGCGCTTTGCTCAAATTCTGTGGTTGAATTTTGATTTGTTTCAGTCGAAAAGTTTTGAAAATTTAAATTGTGAACAGTAAAATTTTGCTGCATATTTTCTATAGTAGAGTTTCTAAAATATAAATTGTCCAGAGTAGAATTTGAAGTTTTAATGCCATTTTCTGTCCTGTTTTGGAGCATATTTTCTGTATAAGTGTCATTGGAAATTTGGTCAAAATTTTCAATTTCGATGGTTTTCTTTTTTATTTTGTCTGTATTGTTTTGGTGCATCATTTCTATCATAGTCTCATTGTCAATTTCGGCAAGATTTGAAGAAGAATTTAAGTCAGTTTTGCTGAAAAAGTTTATTTCAAAAGCTTCTCTCTCTGAACTGTTTTGATGAAGGTTTTCTTTAGTAGTGTTGGAAATTTGGTCAAAATTGGCAGTAGAATTTTTGGTTTCTGTGGCTTGTTTGTCAAAATTTGAATAGTTTCTAAAATTTAAAATGTCCCGAATGGAATTTGTAGTTTTAATGCTCATTTCTGTACTATTTTGGAACATATTTTCCGTATTAGTGTAATTGGAAATGTGATCAAAACTAGAATTTAAATGTTCATTTTTAATTTCGGTGGTAGAATTTTTTGAAGTTTCATTATTTATTTTGTTTGTACTGTTTTGCTGCATCATTTCATTGTCAATTTCATCAAGATTTGTTGAAGAATTAAAGTCAGTTTTGTGGAAAAAGTTGATTTCAAAAGATTCTATCTCTGTACTGTTTAGATGCAGATTTTCTTTAGTAGCGTTGTTGGAAATTGGGTCAAAATTGGTGGTCAAATTTTTATTTGTTTCATTCAAAAACTTTTGAAAATTTAAATTGTCAACAGTAGAAATTTTAGTTTCAGTGGCTCTTTTGTCAGTACTATTTTGCTGCATATTTTCTATTTCAGTATAATTGTCATTTGGGTCAAAATTTGAATTTAATTTGAGTCTAAATTTGAAATTGTCCATTGTGGAATTTGTAGTTTTAACAGCTTTTTTATCTGTACTATTTTGGAGCACACTTTCTACACCAGTGTAATTAGAAATTGGGTCAAAATTGGTGGTAGAATTTGTTTCATTGGAAAGGTTTGTGAAAAATAAATCGCCAATAACAAAATTTTTCTTCGATTCAACAGCTTTTATATCTGTACTATTCTGATGCATCATTTCTCTTGTTGTGTCATTAGAAATTGGATCAAAAATGTTGGTAGAATTTAAAATAGTTCCATTAAAAAAGCTGATTTCCGTATCAAGATATTCTGTTCTATTTTGGATATTCTCAACAGCAGTGTTAAGCAAGAATTGGTCAAATTTGTTAGAAGAATTTGTGTTTGTCTCATTGAAAATCGAGACAGCTTCATTTGAAAAGTTATTCAAATTTGTATCGTTCAAATTTGGGTCAAAATTTCTGGACAAATTCAAACTGTTTTTGTGAGAGCTGTGTGTGTTGTTAAAATTTAAGAACAAATCTACAGAAGAATTGTAGTTTGGATCAAAACTTTTGTTGAGATTTCCAATTTCAGACATTTCAATAAGAGGTTTGTCAAATTCTGTTTCAGTAACCGTTGCGTCAGAACTATTATCCTGTGAAATGTTTGAAATTTGGTAAAAATTTCTGGTAAAATTCAAGTTTGTTTCATTCAAATTCACCATATTACTGAAAGTCATCTTCAAAGTTTGATAGTTTGAAATTTTGCTTTGATTATTTGGAGGCCATTCTTTAATTTCAATGTTCAGTTTTTCTGTTTCATAGTTTTGTGAAATGTCTGTTATCGTTGTGTATCCATTAGGGTTAAAATTGGTCAAATTCAGTACAGTTTCATTTTCAAAATTATAAAGATTGCTACCACCAAAATAAAATGCTGTTTCATTCTCAAAAGTTGTGTTCAAATTGTCAATATTTGAATTTTCAATCACCATTTTGCCAGTACTACTATTTATGGAAGTATGGTCTCCAGTTGGGTGAAAATTTTTAGGCATTTTTGAGTCACTGGAAAAGTTATCAAAAGTATTGTTTATATTGTTAAAATTTTCAAAATAATTTCCAGAAGAATCCGCAAAATTATCAAAATTTTCAATATTTGAAGTTTCAATCGCAAATTTTCCAGTACTATTATCAAAGCTAGTCATTTTTGAGTCTGTTTCATTGGAAACGTTATGAAAAGTTTTGTTTATATTAAGATTTTCAAAATAATTTCCAGAAGAGTTTTCAAAATGTTCTAAATTTCCAATATCTGAAGTTTCAATTGCAAATTTTCCAGAATTATTATTGAAATTAGTATGGTTTCCAATTGGGTCAAAGTTGGACATTTTTGAGTCTGTTTCACTGGAAAAATTATGAATAGTTTTGTTTATATTGTTAAAATTTTCAAAATAATTTCCAGAAGAGTTCTCAAAATTATCAAAATTTTCAGTATCTGAAGTTTCAACCACAAATTTTCCATTACTATTATGAAAATCAGTATGGTTTGCAATTGGGTCAAAGTTTTTCATAAATTTTGGGTGTGTCTTTTCATTGAAATTTGAGTTTTTGTCGTTAAAATTTTGTAAATCATCTTCTGAAGAGTTACTTGAAATGGTCTCAAAATTCTCGTCAAAAATTTTCAACTTTTTCAAAACTTTCAATTTCAGAATCGTCAATATTCGGTTTGCTGTGGTTTGCACTATTTTCAAAATTCTTGTCCAAATTTTCATCTTTTTCTAAACTTTTCAATCTCGGAATTGTCCAGATCTTCTTCAAAAAACGTCTCAGCTTCTACGTCCGGGACTCCACACCTGGGTCGGTTCATGGCGTTTTTCGTGGCTTCGTCGAAAACCCCGGTCACGCTGAGTCCGGACAGCTTCTGGAAGTCTCTGAGCGCGCTGACGAACTGTGGGTCGTGTGGTTTTTGTTCGTTTGGGCGGTCGGCGTCTCGTGAGCGCGGCGCAGCGGAGCCCTCCTCGATGTTAAACTCGTTTAACTCTAAAAACGAAAAGTCTGGCTCCTCCGGTTCTTCGTAGAGCTGCTCCTCCCACTTCACCGGCCTCAGGAACCCGTATCTGGACAGGAACATCTACGGAACAAAACAGAACTTTATTATTATTTCCGTCGATTTTTACTGATGTGTCGATACTGTTGGAAAACTGGGGAAATGGCAACAAAAATAATGTCAGTCTTATCTTTCTTTGTACATTCAGAACGCTCTACTTACATTTACAGTTCGTATAAAAAGCCCATTTTGCGTTTTCTGATCTACGTTATAATCAAGTTTCCTCATCACAAACAGACCTGGAGTTGTGCTTTTTGTTTCATTCACACATGTTTAACACAGAAACCCTGCACATTTAGGCTGAGTTCAACACTCCGTTCCACCTTGTGATGTCATGAGGTGATACGGGAAGTGCTCCAGTGTGTTTTTAAACTCTTTTAAACTCCATACACCTTCACTTGTTGAAATTGGAAACTGTGTCTCAATCACATTGACCTGTGGGGTGCCTCAGGGTCATCCTGGGCCCCCTGTTGTTCAATCTCTACATGCTGCCATTAGGCCAGTTAATAAGCAGCAATCGTGTCCTAATTATGCAGACGACACTCAGATCTACGTCTCTCTGGCAGCAGGAGACTATGGACCAGTGGACTCACTTGGTCACTGCATCCAACAGATCAGTGTGTGGATGCAAAACAATTTTCTCCAGCTAAACTCTGACAAGACTGAAGTCATAGTGTTTGGTCCACAGAAACAAAGGGACAGTGTCAGCATCACCTCCAGTCTCTCGCTCTAAAACCTTCAAATCAGGCAAGAAATCTCAGGGTAATAATGGACAGACTTGACTTTAACAGCCACATCAAATCAATAACATCTGCAGCCTTTTACCATCTAAAAAACAGGAAAAATCAAAGGTTTACTGTCTAAAGCAGACTTGGAGAAACTTATCCATGAGTTTAGATACTTAATGCTGCTCACTGCTCTCCAAACGAGCTGTGAGACGCTGCAGAACATCCAGAACACCAAACATCCAGAACATCAGAACATCCAGAACGCTCAGCTCGTCCTGACTCGAACTAGGAAGTACGAGCACATAAGTCCTGGTCTCAGGTCTCTGCTCTGGCTCCTGTGGCTCAGAGACTTTAAAGCAGCTCTGCTTGTACAAGTGCTCCATTCGAGCACCAAAGTCCATCTGTGACATGTTAGTGTCATATGAACATCTACACTCTGAGGAGCTCAGGGACCAACTCCTGCTGGTGCCCAGAGTCACGACTAAACAAGGGGAGTCAGAGTTTCAGGTTCATGCAGCTAAAACCTGGAACAGTCTGAACATGTGAGACAGACTCTTCTGGACGCTGTTTAAATCCAGACTCTAAACATTTCTGTTTAACTGTGCAAATAACTGAAAGGTTTTCATTCCGCACTCTTCTCTCCAATTTATGTCTCTCTTTTTTAATTTTAATCTTCATGATTATTTATGTTTGATTTGTTTTTATTATGATTTTAATGTATTTCTTATTCTGTAAAGCACTTTGAATTACTTTGTGTACGAACTTGCTGTACAAATAAACTTGCCTTGCCTATCGAATCATTTGGATCATTTCAGGTCCTGGAATTGTCAATCTCTACTGATCTAAAAGTAAAAGAAACTGTTCACTTGAAAACTACCTCATCATGACATCACAAAGTGGAACAGAGCATTTTGAGCTTTGCAGATGCAGACAGATAAAACCGAACACAACTCCAGGTCTGTTTTTGAGGACGTAATGCCGTTAGAAGCAGTGGTGATCCTACACTGATTAGTGCCCTGGGTGTGAGGACCTGGGGCGCACAAAATGGCGCACTTTTGTCTGCTGTAAAGTTACCGTCTTTCATGCCTATGGATCAAAACTTTCCATGACTTTTTCATGAGCTAAAGTGAATTTTCCATGACTTTACAGCACCTACATGTATAGACTTGATCAGACTTTTAGGGCTAAATATGAAATGTGAACTCTTTCCACTCACTTTATGGTGCACACAAAATCCTGTCAGTGCATTTATTGTCGTCACTTTTAAACAAAAGACGCAGACGTTCACAAATAATCAGAACAGACTCGTGAGAACTTAACAGAACCCTGGAGTTGTGTGAAGGAGATACTATAATTCCATGACTTTTCCAAAACCTTCACTAAATGTACAAAATTTCATATCTTTATCTTTATCCTGGAAAAGGACATTTTCAATTTCCATGACTTTTCCAAGATTTCCATGACCGTGGGAACCCTGCTGTTACACTTTTATCTCATAGTTGTAACGAATATTTAGTAAACCTGGTTTCACATCCATAAATCCAAATTCTCCAATTCCAGACCCCTTTTCAAAATCATTATTCTCGACATCAAAAATGATCTTCAAACACTGGAAACTATTTGTAACATTAAATCTATTAAAACACTCAAAATTACAGAAGAATTAGGAGTTTATTTTTAACCACTTCCTCAGTTTCTTGTATTGATTTTTGTTGTACGTATTATCTGCATCAATTAAAGTTTACATGTTTGTCAAGTTTGTTTTTGATTCATTTTGGCTTTAAATTATGTATGTGTATATATGTATGTGTGTGTGTGTGTGTGTGTGTGTGTGTGTAGGCTGAAAAAATTTCAAAATATTTCTAAAACCACCAAATGAAAGAATCTCAAATTTTAGCTCAGTCCCTTGAGTCGTTCCTGGGTTACGGCTCGTTGAAATTTTTGAACCGTGCGCACTTTTTCGCAAGCCTTAATTTATAAATATGTTTGAAAGACCAAAACTTCATAAAAAAACAGAGCGAGGAAGCTGTTTTGTCTTGTTATGTTTCTGTAATAATAAAAAAAATTGTCTCTGGTCACTCACCTCTGCAGTGTGGGGGTCTGTGATTGGCTGTGGTCACTCACCTCTGCAGTGTGGGGGTCTGTGATTGGCTGGGCTCGGTGCTGGTTTAAAGCCTGCAGGTCCGAGTGGTCCCTCTGATGGAAAAGTCTCTCCGCATCTGAACTAATGCCCGTCAACAAAATCGACAAAAACACAAAATAAAAGGGTCTCCGCTGGATAAGAGTCAGCATCGTGGCTTTGTTTTTACTCCGTCTCTTTAAAAAATACAATCTGTGAGCGTCCCATAGACTTATATAGAGCGACAGAGGCTCCTCCCACTTCCAGGTGAGACTCCGCCCACTCCCAGGTGTGATTTTTGCAGTTCGGTTTAAACACCCGGGTGAGAAGAGTGGAGCTTTGTGTTTTTTTTACTGTAGGCAGATGGAACTACATTGTGTTAAAGTGTGAATCGCGGGTCGCTGGTTTTGAACGAACTGAAACGAGCTTCAAGAGTCGACAAACGGAACCTGACCACTAAAATATCACGTAACGGGGGCTTAAAACGTTTACTGATCAATACTAAAACTAGAATCAAGACTAAATACTCAACAGAGGTGAGAAATCGCAGGTGGAGTTTGCTGTTTAAGTGTCATGAAACAAAAACTGGCACAAAGTTCAAAGTCTTCGAAGTAGCTCAATCTGTGCGTCGTTCGTTCATTTGTTTTTCAAAATAAAACCAAAAATAAGAAAACACAACTATTTTCTTCATTATTTGTCTCCAAAACCAAAATGAAAAAACAGATAATGATTCGTTTTTTCAGTTTTCGATTTTGTGTTTAAATGAAAAATGGGAAAAAACGGATAACGGCCGTTTCCCGTTTAGTTTAGTTCTGGTTTAGACCTGGTTTGGATCAAATTGGTCAAAAATACACCTGACACCTGGAACATTTCTTGTATAAAACTGGGTCAAATCTCTGGTTTTGTATAAATCTGCTGGGACAGGGGACACAGGCTCAAAACTGGGACTGTCCCGGGTGAACAGGGTCATCTGCTCAGCCTAGATAGAGAGAAACGTAATTTCAATTCCTTTTTATGTCTTGTACATGCGAAGAAATTGACAATAAAGCAAACTTTTAACTTTGAAATATTAGGAATTATGTTAAAATCTCGTCTCGTCTTGTTTTTGTGGACCCGATCTTGTATCTCGTCTCGTATTGCGGAAATTGTGTCTTGTCCCGTCCCTGATAAATAAACAAAAGTGGAGCCATTGTTCAACTCGAAAAACTTGAAACGACATTAAAGTTTCACCGTGTAACTTTCTTTTGGAGCGTCCGCCACTTGTTTGTCTTCATAAAATTGTTATTGCTTTGTCTAGAATGTCCCACAGTACGGCATTTAACTTATGTATTCCCACGGAGACAAGCCTACAATGCCTCTAGACCAAGTTACGGGTCAGATCTGTGGAGAGGCGAGCGCACTCACTGTAGAAATTCACGTTTTTGTTGTATTTTTGAGCCGTAAAACACCTGTAACTGAATAAATGCGACACCTAAGAGTTTAATGCCGTACTGTGAAACTTTCCAAACCTACAAAGCAATGACGTCGCCGTGGAAACAGGTTTGTGGCGGACTTCCTGCGGACTAGAAAAGCTACACAGTGCACCTTTAAGCCATAAGATGAGAAGATTCAACATTTGTGGATTGGAATTTGGAGATTTTGTTCAAAAAATGTTAAGTTATAAAGGTACATCTGAAATTTTTTTATTCTAGAAAGCAAAAAAAACACAAAAGTTTGGAATTGTAATATTGAGTTTTAGAAGTAAGAGAAGTTTGTAGAAGTTTAATGCCACTTTTATTTCTTTTTCATTTCTGATATTATAACATTTAAATAATAACAATTTACATCTCGTGTGTCCAAAATATTTTTTTCATTCATTATTTTACTTTACACAGTTGAATGCCTTTACACCAGACACACTTTTTAAACTTAACTAAATCTTTACAAACAATAACAAGAGCACATTTAAAGCAATAACTTAACAGACAAAATAAAAAACATTTTATCTCAGACTTGTATAAGTTAAACAGGACGTGGGTTTAAAGTTTAGAAGATCTGCACACTCTTCTGTACTCATATTTACATTCTGTCCTATTTATTTTAATAGAAAAGCAAAATAAAAACATGAATTTGGACGTTTTTAGACAGCGCAGACTAGTGGTGGTTGATTATATTATGTTCATTAACTTAAACTTCCAGCTCCAGTTTCTAAAGTTCACTGACGTCTGCAGTGTTTGTGACGCTTGATGAAATAAAAATAAAACATAAAACTGGCAAATCTTTGGTGCTCGTCAGATATTGTGATTAGTTTCGTAATAACATTCGATTTAAGGAATATTAATTACGTGGTAGTTCGCTCTTATGATCATTTTGGCTCTAATTACTGCACCAACCAATTTTGTTTTCTAACGAGGCTCTGGAGTGATTGTCAGTGGCCAAAACAGAACCTGGTTTATAAGAGTTTGTGATGTTTGGAAGCTAATACTAACTCTCCCGTTGAAAATGTATGAAACAGTGTAAGTTTTTAGAGCACAGGTGTTCTGTTCACAAACACTGGAAGGATGTATTCATGAGCTTCAGCTTCCTCTTACAGCATTTTAAGGACTTTTTCCCAATTCCCTAGATGTAATAGTTTGTTTTAAATTGTTGATTCTTAAGGCAACGGTCCTAGATTTTAGATCCTATAATTCTGAAACCCCTGGATAGACAAGAGTCTCATTTACTGCAGTAGAGTCTCAGTTACTGCAGTAGAGTCTGGGTTACTGCAGTAGAGTCTGGGTTACTGTAGTAGAGTCTCGGTTACTGCAGTAGAGTCTCAGTTACTGGGTTACTGCAGTAGAGTCTGGGTTACTGTAGTAGAGTCTGGGTTACTGCAGTAGAGTCTGGGTTACTGCAGTAGAGTCTGGGTTACTGCAGTAGAGTCTCAGTTAAAGTCTGGGTTACAGTAGTAAAGTCTGAGTTAAAGTCTGAGTTACTGCAGTAGAGTCTGGGTTACTGTAGTAGAGTCTGAGTTACTGCAGTAGAGTCTGGGTTACTGCAGTAGAGTCTGGGTTACTGCAGTAGAGTCTGAGTTACTGCAGTAGAGTCTGGGTTACTGCAGTAGAGTCTCAGTTACTGCAGTAGAGTCTGAGTTACTGCAGTAGAGTCTGAGTTACTGCAGTAGAGTCTGGGTTACTGCAGTAGAGTCTCAGTTACTGCAGTAGAGTCTCAGTTACTGCAGTAGAGTCTCAGTTACTGCAGTAGAGTCTGAGTTACTGCAGTAGAGTCTGGGTTACTGCAGTAGAGTCTGAGTTACTGCAGTAGAGTCTGAGTTACTGCAGTAGAGTCTGAGTTACTGCAGTAGAGTCTGAGTTACTGCAGTAGAGTCTGAGTTACTGCAGTAGAGTCTGGGTTACTGCAGTAGAGTCTCAGTTACTGCAGTAGAGTCTCAGTTACTGCAGTAGAGTCTGGGTTACTGCAGTAGAGTCTGAGTTACTGCAGTAGAGTCTGGGTTACTGCAGTAGAGTCTGAGTTACTGTAGTAGAGTCTGAGTTACTGCAGTAGAGTCTGAGTTACTGCAGTAGAGTCTGGGTTACTGCAGTAGAGTCTGAGTTACTGCAGTAGAGTCTGAGTTACTGCAGTAGAGTCTGAGTTACTGCAGTAGAGTCTGAGTTACTGCAGTAGAGTCTGAGTTACTGTAGTAGAGTCTGAGTTACTGCAGTAGAGTCTGAGTTACTGCAGTAGAGTCTGGGTTACTGCAGTAGAGTCTGAGTTACTGCAGTAGAGTCTGGGTTACTGCAGTAGAGTCTGGGTTACTGCAGTAGAGTCTCAGTTACTGCAGTAGAGTCTGAGTTACTGCAGTAGAGTCTGGGTTACTGCAGTAGAGTCTCAGTTACTGCAGTAGAGTCTGGGTTACTGCAGTAGAGTCTCAGTTACTGCAGTAGAGTCTGGGTTACTGCAGTAGAGTCTGGGTTACTGCAGTAGAGTCTCAGTTACAGTGCAGTACTGCAGTAGTCTCGGTTACTGCAGTAGAGTCTGAGTTACTGCAGTAGAGTCTGAGTTACTGCAGTAGAGTCTCAGTTAAAGTCTGGGTTACTGCAGTAGAGTCTGAGTTACTGCAGTAGAGTCTGAGTTACTGCAGTAGAGTCTGGGTTACTGCAGTAGAGTCTGAGTTACTGCAGTAGAGTCTGGTTACTGCAGTAGAGTCTGGGTTACTGCAGTAGAGTCTGGGTTACTGCAGTAGAGTCTCAGTTACTGCAGTAGAGTCTCAGTTACTGCAGTCTGAGTTACTGCAGTAGAGTCTCAGTTAAAGTCTGGGTTACAGTAGTAAAGTCTGAGTTAAGTCTGAGTTACTGCAGTAGAGTCTGAGTTACTGCAGTGCTTTGTGGATGGCTGCGCTCAGATGTTCTGCTGTAGGTTTCACAGCCACAGCGTTCACTGTGAGTCCTTCAGCTCTCATGGCCTCCTCTGTGGTCGGACCGATCGCTGCAAACTGAAACAAACAAAAACAGTTGGAAATGTCTAACGTGCATAAACGGAGAGGCTAAAACTGGCCCCATGCAGCTGTCAGCTTGGTCTAATTCTGCGTTCAGACCAGAGCATCAAAAAACACTCTGGACGTCTGTAGTTTGACGCCTTTGCATTTGAGCTCAGAGGCCCCCGACGCACGTCTTGGACGCCGTGGACGAACGGGTGAAAAATATGTGACATGCGTCCAGAGCCTTGCTGCGGTCTGCGAGTGCCTTGTTTTTCCGGTCGAGAGACTTTACTGTATTTATTATATAAAACACATCAGCAGAGACGATCAGCGGTTAAGGAGTGTATATATTTATCCTCCGCTAGTGACACGCCGTAGATTTCTTGTTCTGGTGTTTGTGGGTCCCGGGTCTTTTTCTTTCTTCTCCTTCTCCAGGATAATATCGTCACTACGTCACTGGAGAGTCGTCCATGTTTGGTTGACTCGGCGAGTCAAACGCCAAAAGTTCAGCTTTTTCAACTTCTGACACCAACGCCCTGGACACTCGTTCAGAGCATCGACGCCTGAATGTTCAAGAAGCGCCACATCGATGGCAGATTCTCACTGTGCTAACGCCTGAAGACACGCCACAAATACGCCCTAGACTCGCGTCCAGATAGACTTTGTGTGTAAACTGGACGCCTCGATGCTTCGGTCTGAACACAGTTTAAGAGTTTGACAGAATCGTACTTTAATCTGAGCGAGCTGGTCTCCTGATAATCTCCTCACCACCTCCAGACAGAACTTCACTCCAGAAGGGACTGAAGAACGCCACACTCACAGGAACGCCCTAAACACACAGACATATGACTTTAAAGAAGACATACAATGCTTTTTCATGTATTTCATATTATTTTGTATTAAACTATAACATACTTCATTATTCTACAATTGTTTTTTATCTTAAAGAAACATTGTGTTTAGATGTATAGTTCATATTACTTTGTCTAGAATGTTCCGCAGTATGGCATTAAACCTTTCTATCTTCATGGACACCCAACCAGACCAAGTTACAGGTCAGATCTGTGGAGAGGCGACCCCCCTCACAGTCAGAACACCTGTTTTTCTAGGTTTTCTTGAGATATAAAACCGCCTGTAATTGAATAAATGTAAAGTAAAGCTGTTTAATGTCACACTGTGGAACATTCCAGACAGAGCAATGGCATCTCCATAGTAGCAAGCAGGTGATGGACACCACAAAAAAGTTACACAGTGCAGCTTTAGGAACAGAAACAGGTCCACTGACTTCCTGTTCAAAACTCATTAATGTGTTATTATTGTTGAAAAATGGCCATGTGACCCAGATGTATGAATCAGATTTTTAAATAAATAATAATGACTCACAAAGTAAAAACAAGACAAAAATGTAGTCCAATTATTCACACTTGTCTCAGGATGGAGGGATTCTGTGCAACCAGGAAAAAAAAACACTCCGCCACTGAACAAAATATAAACTTTACCTGCTCAGTAAAATAATTCTTGAGGTTTTTCTCCAGATCTGGATGTTCGGCCGTTTGATAAACTGTCAGTGTCTCCAGAGGAACTCCTGCAAACCGAACACACAAACATGTTTTTATTTATTTATTCATTTAAACAGATTCATTTTGTTTATTTGACACTTGTATCTGTAACATGATCTCACCGTTTTCTTTCAGAGCCGTGGGCAGGACTTCCCTCTTGATCGAACCACAAGGGAAAAACAACGGAGGGATGTTTTTGTCTTCTCCTAAAATAAAAAATATCAGTTGATAAATCTTAAAGCTTGAATGAAAAACATTTTAACGATGTTCAAATATCTCACTTTCGATGATGAGTTTGGAGAGGACGTCTGCAGTCCCAGTGTCTTCCCCCAAAGGATTCAAGCCCAGATTTTCAACTGTGAGAAGAGGAAATGTATTTTAAAATATAATGCAACATATGTCAAATAAGACATAATTCTATAAATGTAAATGTCAAAATATAGTAGAAAAATAAGTAATAAAATCTAAAATCTAAAATATTGGAACTGTAAAAGCTGGAGTGGTGCATCTGTAATGAAAAGTAACACTCGCATACTACTTTCATTCTAAGCAACGAGTGTCTTGCCTAAAGACACAACGACGTGTAGTTTTACGGCGGCGACACAGTTAAGACTTAAACTGCACTGACACCAAACTGTGACGTGTGCTGAGCTCGTTTCCTCCAAACCAAACGACCCAAAACAGAGGAGACAGAGTTTGACGCGTCTCCGAGAGCCGCAGCTGCTCGTCGCACACTTCAGCCAAAAAAACAATAAACACACACACTTTGAAGGGGTTTTGTCACGTTCTAAAATACTAAAATATCAAACTCACTAAGCAAGCGTCTCCATACGTAATAGTAGAAACTGAATGAAACCGGAGACCAAACTGACTCTTCTTACCTAAAGCGGCTGTTGCTTTTCCGACGACATAAACAGACTTGGAGTTCCACTTTTCCTTCACAGACGCCTCCCATTCTGTAGAAACAGCAATGCAAAAAAATAATAATAATTGCTGTGTTGCTACTGGTAAATGCATCTGTCACTCTATAGTGTTAAAAAACGCTAAAGCTTGTTTTATAGTGTCTTAAAATCTGCATTGGTTTAACATTAAGCTCAGTGAAAATGAAATGAGGGGTGTCGTCACAGTCTGGAGCTCTGTAGTCGTTGTCACCTTGTTTCCTCTCGTCCACACACGTCCTCACGGCCTCCACGGCTCTGGGGCTGGTGAAGATCAGACCGCCATGTTTCTCAGGCTGGAAAATCTGCAGCAAAAAAACAACAGCTTTAAATATTCAACATCCTATTCTAATCTGTTTACTCAAAGTCAGAATCTCACCTTATCTGAAAGTGTGTTCAGAGAGACAAATTTAAAGGACAGCACTGGGATGAGGGTAGCTTTGAGTCCACGTGCGTCCAGCTCCTGTTCAAACAAAAGGATAAATGAACATAAATGCATGTTACAATAATACTATAACATGGGTTGAGAAATTAGTATGATTGTCAAAGCAATTAACAAGTCAAAACAACAATAATATCTAGTGTATATAGTCAAAATGGTACCTATAACAGGAAGCTAAAGCCCCTTAATCTTACTGTTCAATGAGTTTGTACTTTTCTAATAATTTACATTTATAACAAAGGAGTAACAACATTTTCTGACAATAGCTTATAAACAACTGCCTTAAATTTGACAATGTTTTATGTTTATTTTAACCTGTTTTGTACGTTTTCTTAATTCATTTCTGTTTGTCCAGATTCCGATAAAAGGGAACTCTCAATCTCTCTCATCTTCAGTCAAATCAACCATTCTGAAACCAAGTTGTGCTCCAAACAAGTACAAAAAATTCACAAAAATGTAATTCCGCCTGGACTTTCTTTTTGCCTCATTACAAATTCCTAAATCTCGTGTTTTGTGAGTGGATTTAAGAATGATGT